TCAGACAAGAAAGGAGCTAGACATGAGAACAGAACTGAAGCTGTGTATAAAGGATGTTATGCCAGAGGAATTAAAGCAAGTGGACTATGGAACTCGGTGTGCTGAGATTATATTTCCTGATAATAGTTCTCGCCGTTAGTAGTTCTCTCTCCTGAGCCCCTGGGATGTATAATATTAAGGCTGGTTCCTCTAATATTATACAAGACTGGTCAATTGATTCTGTGGGCATCTTCTCTTGGTGTCTCTGACTACCCTGGTTCCTCAAGTTTTTAAATGGGCATGTTGGCCTTTGATATTTTTCAACAGTACTTGGCTAGCTACTTGTTTCTTTGACATCTCTGGCCTCCTGATGCCTGTGTTTGTTGGGATAGGGGTGCATGTGTAGGTGGGAGTGTAGGTTTTGGAGAGAAGGCAAGGGCAGGGCATCAAGGACAATAATTTTCTACCTAATTCCTGTGAGACAAGGTCTATCACTGAATCTGATGCTGGGTTTGTGGCCCAACAAGGCCCAGCAAGCTTACAGGTGCACATGGCCATACCCAGATTTGTATGTGGATACTGGGATCCAAACTGAGGTCCTCATTCTTACTTACTGAGCCATATCTCTGTCTATTAAATTCCCTTTTCTGGTACAACTGGGTAAGTTAACAGTCAGTTTCACCTGGTGATATTCTGTAGGCCAGTAGAGTAACTAGTCAAATCTTTCCCTAGTTTTAACCATGTAAAGACTTCAGTGATTCATGCAGAGTTCCTGAATTTAACCTACTACCATACTTATAGCCAAGGTGTTTTTAATTTCTGAAATAATAATAATAATAATAATAATAATAATAATAATAATAATAATTTTAAAAGCCCTCCATCATTTGAAATAACAAATTCATAAGAATAGCAAGAAAATTTAAGCATGGAAAATTTCAAAGAAGGGGAAAGAATTCATAAAAAACAAAAGAAAAGAACTCTATGGAATGGATGGCAAACTATTGGCTCTAATGCTTTGGCAGCCTGATCCCTTTACTGGTTGAGAATGGACTTCGTGATTTTGTTGGTGACATAGTTCCCTTCTGTAGTGGCTAGCTGTTCTAGCTATGACCTTGAAGCACCACCCCTAGTGAGGTAGCAGGTAACTGATACACCTGCCTATGACCTTGAAGTACATGCCCCTGGGGCATGGCTGCTGGAGTGGGGGGGGGGCGTTTAAAACCTGGGATGCATGTAGGTGGCACACTCTTCAATCCCTCATGATTTTGGATGCTGGGACTAACCAGGCAGATCTTGGAAGATCAGCATGGGACATAGTTTGGCTTTCCTGCACCCTACAATAAATACCTGTGCTATAATGAGTTACTCCCTAATAAATTTCCTTGTTCATTAAATAGACTCTGTGCGTTTCTCACATCATCCTTAGTCTTTGTGACAAAATACAATGAAAACTGGAATATTTAGTCTAAAAAGAGTTAAGGAATCATTCCTCAGAGGGCCTTACTCCTGCTGTGGGTGAAAGGCCCAATGCTTTAAGTGGCATAGTTTTCTTGCAAAGTTTAAATATCCTTAATCATAGTAGACATATGTTAATTTCCAGCTGGGAAAACTGTTTCATGAGAAGTTTTATGTCTTAGGAAATGTCAAAGGTACAAAGAAAATTAACCCGTTCTCTATATGGACAAGTCATTCCTACTCCCCTCCCTGTCTGGTAATCTTAAAAAGATCGTTTTAAAAATAAGGGAAATACTATCCATATTTGCATTTTTTCCTACATTCTGAGAAAGTGTTTTCACCAGAAAGCTTTCTCTTCACACACTACAGAGCATTCTGCAATCTGGGTTGCTTGTGACTGGAATCAACTGCCTGTGTGATGGCTTGCTGCAGCAGTGTGAAAACGAGAATGAGGCCAAGTCTAATGAATGGGTTCATTAGACACAGAGACAATCGCTACTTTTGTTCCTTCCTCTGCTACCAACTCTATGAGTAGAAAAAAAAAGTCCTGGCAGCACAATAGAACCATCCTTAACTGCCACCTCTCATAGTACCACGGAATAGGTGTTTGTGTTTGATGCAGGGAGGTGAGGGGATGATGCATTTGATGGATGATTTTTTTTTTTAACTTCCCTTTGGTAAAGGAGTTAGCTCTAGCAGGCACTGTTAGAGTTAGTGTATCCAAATTAATTGACATAGTAAAGAGTTGCAATGCCTTTTAATGTATGGAAACACTGCCTTTATTACAGTGTCAGATATTTCAGTGCAATGGCTTACTACAAAGTGTGTCATGAGTTCTCCCTGTGTTCAGATATACAGAGATGTTTTATGAACCTTCGAAATGGAAGGTAAGCCCAACCTGTCCACCAAACTCCTTCAACATCCTTCTTAAACAGAACCAGGTCTGCCAAACTGACAGAGACTTTTTCAAAACAATGAAAATTATTTTTTAAAATATGTGTTAGAAAAAAGGATTATCCAATTAAGTATGTTTCTCAAACAATAAAACAGGTCATCTCTTTCTAAACTGTTGTGTGTTGCTTGGTTGAAGTATGAACTGTCAATAAACAGAACACAAATAATCAAGTACACCAAATCATGGAAATGTTTGAAATAACTCAATAGGTTAGCAACTTTATTGGAGATTTTCTTTGATATCTGGACTTCTGTATTCATTGTTAACATGAAAATTCAAGAGTTTATATTTCTCTTTAGATTCACAGAAATCAATAGAATTTACTTAAAATTTCAAGAACTTCTAAAAAAAATCTCAACATTATATATGTTAAGCACACCTGCTACTTTTATGTTTTTCTATTAAGAATGTTTTTCTTCAGTAGAACTCAGGATCAATGTCTTTGCAAAAATAGTGTTTGTTTTTTTTTAAGACAAGATATCATTATGTGCCCTAGGATGATCTCAAATTTGCAATCTTTCTGCCTTAGCATCTTCAGTATTAGCATTACAACTGGGTGCCAACACACCTGGCTATAAACTTTCTCACTTTTAGGATGATTAGTTCTTACAATGATATCTGCTCTAAGAACAATATTTAATGTATAGCAGTGATTAATTTTATGTATATTCATAGCTTGTGATAATGGCCTACTTTGCATCGGCATATTATCCTTACATTTTTATGTTGCAAATTATTTTGGTTTATAGGAGGAACTTCCCTTCAGAGCACTGTTTAGATATAAAGGCATTATCTATGGAGTGAAAGAAGGCTGATTGTCAGTTATATATCCTGATATTAATTCATTTGCTATGCACCACATAATAAAAAAGCAACAGGAGTCTTTTGCAAATAACAGCTGTCTGTGCATCTCTAACATTCTAGGGAAGAACAGTCCAGACAAGATCCAAATTACTGAGGCCAGTAGACAGGCACAATCAAGCTGCTGCTGGGAACTGACTGGAGTCCGGCATCCACTAACAAATATAAACGCTTAAAAGCTGTGTAGCTCGGGTAGTTTCTCAATCCATTTGGGCTTCAGTTTTATTGCCTTCATCTATAAAAGCAGGGTTGTTGCAAGTTTAAGTGAATATATACACACATATAAGTATGTACTTAAAATATATACTGTATGCATATTCACTTAAGGCATAGTATGTAAGAATGTGTTGTTAATTTGATATCTATATGATACACACTTTAGAGAAGTTTTTCAGAGAGCAAATGCTATTTAAATATTAACTATCATACTGACTTAGCATTTCTGCCTCTAAACTACTAATAGTAACAATGATTTGATGGTTCTCTTATCCTGAAGGGTCAAAGATCACAGCAAAATGCCTCCTTTAAGAGGTGGAGCAAACGCAAAATGAGAAGCCCTAAGACAATACACTGAGTTACCAGCCAGGCTGATCACTTCCTGTATATACACACAGCTAGCAATTTGGAGAACTAGCATGGGGACTGTTAGTTTGGATATTATTTTAGGAACGATGGATTGCTATGTTTCAGGGATAGGACTGATGAGATTCTAGCTCCTGCTGCTCACTACTTATTACTGAAACAACGGTCTTGAAAAAAACAAAAGAAAAAACTAAGCAAACAAAAAAAGGAGTATAATTTCACAACATCCAAACAGTCAATTTCCAGCTTTATAAGGATAGAGATCTGTCTATTGGTTCATTACCGTGTATACACAATCGTAGGAAGTGCCTACTGATTACTGGAGGCTGGGTAACTATTTCTTGAGTAAGTCTAATGAGTGAAAAACTGCTCTATCCCCTTGATGATCATAGTATTCAAAGGAAAAAAAAACCGGCATGTGTTCCTAAGTGGGGGATTTCTGACTTGGAGACGGTTAGTAGGCTCCTCAGTGGCTCTGAGAGAAGCAGAGGCTGGAGGTGAGTGGGGACAAGTTACTAAGCATTTCAACAGCCATGGAGCTGACTCACATTCACAGGAATGTGGGGTGTTCAGTGGTGCCATACTTAACTCAGATTCCTGTGCATGTGCCACATTTAAATTTCAAATCCCTTGTCCCGCGTCTTTCTAACTCTGTGGTGTCTACTTCCATATTTTCCCCTTCAGCATTTTCAGAAATCTTTGACCCATTACAGTGTCATAAAGAATTTAAGAGAAACCTGTGGCAAACATTGAGCTGACTTTTAAGCTTTGAGTGATGAGAATAATTAGTTTGTCCTCATCTACTTTACAGGTGGGGTTGACTATATGACATTACTTATAATTTAGCTTATAACCTCAGAGGATGGATTAATATAGCACTGTTAGAACTGTGTCTGATGTCAAATCTAAATACACATTCTCTTCAGTTCTCCTAGCAAACTTTTTTTTTTTTTTTTTTTTTTAAATAGAAAACATCCCTTTTTACAGCACAGGCAATTGGACAATTCAAACTCATTAGTACACATTCTAAGTTTTCCTAATTATCTTTGTACTGAAAGCTGAGAGGTTATTAGTCACCCTTGGCTGAGCCACACTCCATTCTCCTCACTCTCCTAAGTACAATAAAACAGCAAACACCCTCAGAGTGCATTATTAATCAATTAGATATAATTTCTTAGAATGGCTTCCATCATCTCATTTAACTGTGGAGCTTTTAGGCATTAATTAATCATAAGCTGTCAAAAAGCTATCATGCATTTATAAGGTGCGTTACCATATCGGGCCTGACCCCAAATTCTGGGCCTGAAAGGGGAAAAAAAAGGGAGAACTGTGAGAGATAGGGTGAAAACACATCAGCAAATAGAAAAAATAATTAGGCCTAATGACATTAGAGGGAGAATTGAGATTCATTTTATTCCACGGTACTGTTTCTATATTTGAGGCTCTGTGTAGAAAAACGGTACTTAGTGTTAGGACCCCATTGAAGGTGGTAGAATTCCACTTGGCCCTGGGACATAGAGGGTAAACATTTAGGTTATTGCGCACACAGTTACAAAAGTTTAGATAACACATGTTCCGATTAACGTTAACACAGTAGTGTTTAAGGCTAGCCAACACTGGAAAGCAATCATTTCCAAGATGGTGACCAAATGTCTTAACACAGTGTCACCTGTTGGAGTTGACAGAAAGGACGTCTCGCGTCAAGATGTGTTCACGGGATATTTTCACACTTGCCAGCTTCCTCTCACTTGTATACTAGACAGAGGCACTTTAAGAGCTGTGGATTGAAGTTTCTGAAGTATATACGAGACATGGAGTTTCAGCGGCCATTGGTAAACATGGCAAGAAAGTCAAATGAAATTGCAATAATTAAAAAGAAAGCAAACAGCTCATTAAATCAGGAACTTGTAAAAACCATTGTTCTCTGATCTGAAAACTTGCATTGAAGAACAGAAAAGTAAGTACTTATCACTCTTTGAGGTCCAGTGAATATTACCGATTTCTGATGTTCAGGTAGAGTGGTTTAGCTGTTTGACCTCGAAAAGGTTTAAATTATTGATGAGTTAAATATTTTGAGTTAGTTTTGAGTAACACTTCAATGTATTGAACTTTACATATCGATTCCAAGCACTCTGGAAAACTAAAGCGTCAAGTAAAACAAGTTGGAAGAGTTTAGTAAAGTGTATAAAAATTAAAAGACTGAAAACCACCTCGTTTTAAATGTGTAAAAATAAATTGCATCATGTCCCTTTCTTCCTTTCTTTTCTTCTTCTTTTCCCCCAATCTTAGTTTGTTGGGACATACTGCACCCGCCACAACACGTTGGACAGTAGGTCCTGGTACACACTAAGGAACAGCCAACCAGGTAAATACATCAGAGTGATGAGGCCCATGAAATTGAGTGGATAGTGAGAATAGTCCCAGGAACAGGCCCCACACATGCGAAGTCCCAGACCCCAGGACAACTCCCAGGCATAGATAAAGATCACATAGATGGGCACCCGCTTCCAGGTGCCCCAGCCACGGCTGTAGTGAAGATGGAAGTAGAGTTTCTCCACAACAAAACTACAACTGCCATACATGAAGAAGGACCAGAGCGATGTGTGTCCACCGCTGGCCCCGTCCCCCTGCCCCAGCACATTGAAGAAGAAGGTGAAGAAGATCTCATCCAGAAAGCCGTGCATTCCGAAGAAAAGGAAGCGGAGGAAGTCTGGCAGTCCTTGGCTAGGGGCTCCTTCTGCGCCCTTGGAGCCGCGGGGTCCTTGTCGCCGGCCATCAGCCTCCAAAAGGACTCGGGCGTCCGGGGCTGCCGGTAGCGTGTCCCTGGTTTGCTGCTGGCGCTGCCGCGGGTACCGCAAACGCAGGAAGCGCTTCAGGAACACTTGGCCGTGGTAGAGCGCCAGTACGTACTGCAGCGCCAGGTCGAGCGCCCCCGGCGCCGCCGCGCCCCCCGGCCCGCCGCCTAGGCTGAGCAGCATCGCCTGGCCCGCCAGGGTCTGCAGCCCCACGTGCGCCCAGGGGTAGAGAAGGAAATTGAAGAGGAAGGCGCTGGGGCAGCGCGGCCGCTGCAGATAGAGCTGCTCCAGGGCGAAGTGGGTGAGCGAGTGCAGGAGGCAGCGGTAGGGCGATGAGAAGCCCAGCATCCGCAGGTCCAGGCTGCGGGCGAAGCGCCTGGCGGAGGACACCAGCACGTCCAGGGTGATGCCGTGCATCCCGTAGAAGTACAGGCGCATCCAGGCGGGCAGCGCGCCGCGCTCGGCCGGAGCTTCAGCAGCGGACAGCGGCTCGGAGCTGCTGGCCGCTGCCTGGCTGCGCAGCTCGCCGGGAGCCCCGGGTCTCCGGGTCGCGCCTCCCCTCCGCATGGGCCCCTCACACGCCACGTCGCTGCCCGCCATGGGCTACTCAGGTGTCCGGGGCCGAGTGGCCGAGCCCCGCACCTCCTCCCGGCCGCCGGCCACCCCCGGGGGGCGCGCACGTAGCTCTGTCCGGATCAAGGTCTCCGGGCGCTTGGGGGACGCGCCGGTCGCCCGGGCCACTAGGAATCCCCGTGCCGTGGCCCCGCCGCGCCCTCCTCTCCAGTCCAGGGCGAGGTGCCGCCCGCCGGCTCCTGCGATCACCCTGTGCGGCCTAAGGAATGGCCCGGCCGGGCGAGGGGAGGTGATGCCGGGGCTGCAGGGAAGAGAGCCGAGGCTGGTGGCAGCCCCATCCCCTCCACGGCTCAGCCCCGCCGCCTCTGCCGCAGGCTCCGGGAGCGTTACGCGAGCGGAGACGGCCCTTCCCCCGGCCCTTCCCATACCCCTCTCCGCCCGGCTCGACCTCTCCCGCCTTCCAGGGTCCCCGCCCCGCCCAGCCTCCCGCGCCAGGGCTTACAGGGGTCGGCTCCGAAAGGCCCTGCGCGCCGCCGGGTCCCCTCTGGCCATCTCTGCAGGCTCCGGGGCGAGTGCTGCGGGGGGCTTCCGCTGCATTGGTGGCGGGAGTGGAGAACCCCCTAACAGGTGTGAAGACGAACTGTGGGGCATTCCCGGTATCGTGGAAACCAGGGCCAGGCCTTGGCTGGCGGAGACAAATGGCCAGGTGCCACCAGCCGGAGGCTGGGCCCGGGACCAAACTGTGGTACTGTATATTTAATGTCCTTATGCAAAGCCAGCTGTGTCCCAGTCACAGAGTGTTAACTGGAGACGCCAGGCCTGCCTGCCTGCCTGCCCAGAGCAGCCTGCATCCGAGTGCTGCCCCAGGTCGGATCCTCTTTATTAGTCTTTGCCTAAGTTAGTTTACTCAGGGTCAAGCCCAGCAGAATTAAAAAGAAAAAAAAGAAAAAAGAAAAAAAAACAAAAAAAACAAAAAAACAAAAAACCTAAGGCCAGTCCTGCTGAGTTGTGCCCTGGCTATAATGGGACGGGAGTCCCCTCCAGAGGACAGTGTACTTGCTCTGCTGGCATAGACTGGGGCTGGTTTTTTCTTCTTGAAGAACTAGGTCATCTCAGAAACACCAAGTGAAATAGAGCGCCAAGCTTTTTCTTTTTCTGTCTTTATTTTTCTGTCTTTTGCCCCCTCCCCCACTTCCTGCTTCCTCCTTCAGGCGTCCTAGCCTCCCTCACCCCCTCCCTGTTTCCTCTCCCTCTTCTCTCCTCCTCCCTCCCTTCTCTGTCTTCTCTCAGGTAGAGAGGGTGGAGGGATCTTTGAAATAAATTATATCATTAACGATCCCCTCTCCCAGTTCATGTCTAAGCAGACACTAGAGAATAATTTTACTCTGTCAAGAGTTCAAATCTTCCTTGGATACAAAGCTTTATGGAGATGTTTCTCTTCTGGAGAACAAACATTCTCTGGCAGTTCTGTTTCTGGAGCAACCCTGAGCCTTCTTTCCCCCTTATTCATTAAACCATTTAAGCTACTGTCCATGGTGGCGATGTTGTTGTTGAGTTAGCTAAGAGAGCAAGACGAAAACAAACACCGTTCTCATGATGACAATCAGCCCTACCCTGAAGTTAAAGGAAGGTGTTTTCTCTCAGCTTACTAGCAAGTTGTTTCTTCTGCTGACTTTGAAGTTGTCACACTGAGGACAAAAGTGTCAGGTAGCAGACTCAACGCTGCCGTGGGACTGGAACAGGGCTAGGTACCCAAATTCCTGAACACCCAGAGGAAGAGGAAAAGTGCGGTAAGATGCGCGTTCTCTTTAAAAGTCGAATAATCTGTTTGGAACGATAGGAACGAACCTGCCAGGCTTGATGGGGCACACATGTAGTCCCAGAAGCCAGGAAGCTGAGGGAGTTCATGTCAGCTGGGACTACAGAGTGAGAACTCCTCCCCTGAAAAGCAAAAACAGAAACAAGCAAAACACAACAAAAGCAACAACAACAACAAAAACCAAAAAGAAAGACTTGAAGTGATGTGAAACAATCCATTATACTTATGATAAATATTAATAATAAATATTGTGATAGCCTAGTACTCCACACAAACTGCTTTTGACTTATTTTTTTCGGGCTCCAAACAACTTCTCTTTCATGTGACCATTGCTCTTCAGTCAAGAGAAAGCACTCCATCACAACTACAGCACATACCCACGCGTATTCAGCTGTGGTAGGCTGAACTTCGGCTGCTTTAAAACAGTAAATCAAACTTCAGAGGTATACGTCTTCTGTTGTCACGTTTCCAAAGAATGCAGAGAAAACTGGCAAAGTATGTAGGGAAGTCTTTTGTATTAAAGAACTGAGCTTCTAAGAGTGTATACAAGCTTTAGAGACAGGGTCTGACCTTGAACTTGTAACCTTGTGTCAGCCTCCGGAGTGCTGAGATTACTCTTTCTGATATTCTGATTCTGCCATTTTAAAAAAAAAATTCTATTTTTGTATGCTATATGTGTTCAGTAAAATATTAGTATATAAGGTATATGTAAACTTTACACGCTTATGTGTATGTATAGTTTATGCTAAGTTTTTAATGGAAGGTATAGAGTAAAAAGTTGGGAGCTCACTATTGTCAAGTAGTGTGACATTCCATCAAGTGAGAGAGAATCTGAAAATCTTACTATTCTGGGTCTCTCCCTGAAAAGCTCCCATTTTCCCTAAAGTGATAACAACACAAAGATAAGCAGATACAAAGTCAAAATATAAGCACAGTTGATGTCTGCTTCTCCCCATGTTTCTTTTACAGTTTCCTTGCAGTCTCCATTATAATGCCTTAGAAACTGGGCACAGAGGAGATCAGATAGTGAGACAGGAAGCCAGAGGGACTGGTGGGTCAGACTCTCTTATAATCATTACTCTTTTAAGGAAAACCCAACTGAGAAGAGCAGCATTGGTGTCTCCTGAGGGTCTTCTGATGAGATGCTCAGCCTTCAGAATGTTCTTCTCTCACCATTTCCATCACCCTGTAATCCACTCACACTGGGGAGCAGTCTCCCAGATGTGTGGATTACACACATCACCACAGTAATAATGCCAACTTCTGTTTCTGCTTTATCTTCTAATTCTTCTTTGTTGTTTTAAACACCTCATCGCTCTGTTTACCAAACATTTATTTTAAAACTACAGAATGGCTTTAATGATCCATGAACATTTTAGAATTAAAATCCTCACATCAGTGTCTCTATGAATGTAAAATGCTTCAAAGCACTGTGTGTACGTGTGTGTGTGTGTGTGTGTGTGTGTGTGTGTGTGTGTGTGTGTGTGTGTG